AAGAGCAAGCACTGTAACCTGCATCATGGAAACAGGGTCCTGTTTGTGCCTCTCAGTGCCAGGTCCTGCCCAGACCAAGGAGGTGCACTACGTGCTGCCCAGCAAATGAATGTGCTGGGTGGCACATCAGATCTCCTGTCCTTGGAAGTTCTTGATCTGGAAAGGAGCAGTAATTGGCCCCAGCTTTAGTGGAAAGTGAGACAGGCAGGCATGAGCAAGCCTAGATCCACCAGGCAGGACGGGGGAAGAATTTACAATGATGGTGCCTTCAGGGCCTGGAGACTGGCATAATTACATGGGAAGTCTCTCAGGCAGCCACAGAACTCCATAAATAACACATGAAGAATCAGCACAGCACAGATCGAGTAGTCTGGTAGTAAAGGCAGGGGGTAGTAATCCTTCAAAAGGCTCTGAGCAGTTCCTGAGCAGCGTAAGCCTCAATTGAGCTTAATTCAGGTCTTCAGCCCCATCCCTCTCTACAGTTAGTGGAGAGAGGTGGGTTCTTCTGCACATCCATCATTCTTACATTGACTGAATCTCTTCCAGAGATGCCTGTTTCTCCCCCTGGCTGCAGAGGACACTCAAGTGTCAACTCATTGCAGCACAGTGAGAGAGTCGTGTGGATCTGGACAAGAGCTGTTTGGGCACCCCTGGAATTGACTGGTTCCTTCTCTTGGTGCTTCTTCTTCATCAAGGCTCATTTCTCCTAGTGATGGCACTTCCCTGGGACTGGGCGCCATGTCCAGCAGTGTGTGAGCAGGGTTCAGGCTGAGCTCTCAGCCATGGGGACACATACAGGGTCTGCAGAGGACCCAGCCAGCTTTCTGGGAAGCAGATGCAGTGGGAATTGCTTACAAGAAACCCTCCTGGGAACGCCGTGGACAGTGTTGTGGTTTGGATGAAAGCTGTTCCGCATTCATAGTTTGCACGAAGGGAAAGTCACCAGTGGCTTTGATCTGGATTGAAATCCCAGGAATAAACAGGAAAGCTCAGGGAGGGTTGTTGTTGTTGTTAGAGATGTTATGGTTGTTGATGGTTTGGGGTTTCTTTCAGACTCCCCAGCGGTCAGACCAGCTAGAGGAGCAACCTGGGAGAGCCAGCAGATGAAACCCTGCCTCTTCTGAGCCAGCAGCCAAACCTTGGCTGATTCTGTGAGGCCAGGCTTTTGCCATTTGTTTTTTGAATCATTTGATAACAGTCTTGGTATATGGAAGCAGCCACAGACAGATTCTCAACAGAGATTATGAATTGATTGGGGTCAGGGCCTTTTCTCTGTGATCAGTGAGGTCCCACCAAAGACTCGTGGGCCAGATGTGACCTGTGGAATGACTCCAGTCTGCTTTCCTGGCTGTGGCCTCGGAGAGGATGGGGAATGGCTGCCTTAGTGGATCCAGAGATCCTTTGTCTCTGCTGCTGAGGGAGCCTTGCTCAGAGGAGGGCTACCAGGGGAGCTGGAAGACCTAAAAGGATGGGGGTCCCTGTGCTCTCAGCTTTGGGCAAGATGAGGGAAGATAGAGCAGTGCGAGGGACAGAATCTGGATCAGGAAGAAGATCTTGAGCTATGCAGGACTGAGAATAAAATATGGGGTATGGCTTTGTGGCAATTCCTCAGCTCCCCCAGAAGTGCTGGCATTCCTGTCTGCTCTCTGGGGTGGAGCTTTCTTCCAAAGGGCTGAGAAGCCAAGACCAGCTGTCTGAGGCATGAATCACCCGCTCTAGAGGCACATTTTGAATTGCAGAACCAGGTCCCACTTTTGATGCCAATTCTTTGTGCAAAATGGCACTGAGAACAGGCTGTATGAGAGCAAGCACAAGGGGATGGAAGAGGCTGGAGACTGGGATGACCCTGTGAATCATCCAGTAACAGATGTTCAGCAGATCATCACAAAATTAAGTTTATAGCCCCCCAAGTGTTTTCCCTTTGTTGAGAGATGCAATCTAGCAAGAGATAAAGGAGAAGCATCTCTGTCTTACTGAAATGAGCACATTTTCTGCTCTTGCAGCGAGAGCATGCCATTCTCCCAGCCACTGGGGCTAACTGATGCAGCTCTTGTTTTCTTTTGCAAGATGTGAATTTATGCAAACACAGGGGACAAGAGAAGAGGATGTGAAGGTGAGACAGTGCTGAGCATTTCTTAGGTGTGTCATTGGGCTTTTTTTCCAAAGAAGAGAGGAAACCGATATTTAAAAGCGATATACTGTGATGAAAAATCAGTTCTGCTTCCCTCTCCTGTGCTTGTGGAGTCTTCTTGACTAATGAATTCCCGAGACAGGGATCTGAAGTTGTACTTCAAAGGCGTGAAAATCGACTGTGTGATTTAGCAATGTATATTCATGGAGCCTAAATCTGAAGTAAGGATTTAAGAGTTCACTGGGTGATGCTCTCCGGGTGGTCATTTCCCATTCCATACTGGGTTCCTCCTCTCGAAGTGCAGCCCTTCATACATAACTTACTTCTCTTCCATGTTGTAGCCTTTGGACCAGCTCTTCAGGTGAGCTGTTTCTAATGCCAGGCCTGCCATCCCAAGGATTAGAAGTTTAAGGGGTTCTTGATTTTTCTTGTTCCCTATGGCACTGATGATTTGTCTTGTCCTGGTTTTATAAGACTCCTGGGACAGAGGTTCTCGCTGTTGCTGATTTTAGTAGCACTTAAAATCACAGAACAGTAGGATCTTGTGTTCCTCTTTTACCTTTCTTCCCATCCAGCAGCTCAACAGTGACCACAGGGCTCAACAGTTTGTTGCTGAGTTACTCAACTCCTGAAACTGCTGCTCGTTCAGTAATTAATAATACGGTGCAGATTGGGATGGGACAGTGATCGTCCTGTGCAAGGGGTTCCTTGGGCCAGATGGGGCTCCTTTGGAGCATTTTTGGTATGTAATCCCTCAAGGTAGTATCCAAATAATAAAAGTCATATTTGAGGGACCTTAGGGCAGCCTTGCATCTTAATTTTAACAAGGTATCAAAGCCCTATTTCCATGTCATTATTTTTCAGAGTTGGGCAAGACACAAGGTTATATGGTAACAGATGATGAGAACCAGCTATACCGGATCAGAGATGTGAAATAAATCCAGGGGCAGGCTTTTAATATGAGATGTTATTTCAGAGCCTGGAGAATGACACAAACCATTTTCTGCTCTCGTGGAGTGTTTTGACAACTCCCGACTGTCTGAGTGGAATTGCAGACCCTTAGCTCTGTGCTGCCACTTGCTTTTTCTGTACGTGAGTTTGACACAAGGCAGAACAGCAGCAGAACTCCTCATGTGAGCTGCAAAGCCAAACCTAAACTGTGGGTCACAGAACATGACCCAGTGGGATGTCAAGGACATAGGGATAGGAGCACAGGCTAAGGTCACCTCTGCCTTCACCCTTGTCTATGGAGATGCCTGGCCCATCCCTGGCAGGCATGTTTCTAACCTGTGATTAAAACCATTCCGCAGCTTCTCTGCCAAGACAACTCAGCTGTGTTTGGTTCTCGGTAGCTTGTTTTAATATTTGGTCTGGGAATATTTAATACCTGGGAATGCGTTGTTGCTTGTCCTTGCCTAGCTGGCAAGAGAGAGTAATCTCACTGTCGCCTCCAGAGCAGACTTTACATATTGTTAGATTTTATTGTTTCTTTCTTCCAGGCAGTTTCCAATGAAAAGAAACACAGTTCTTTGGGTTTTTCCTCAGGAGGCATGTCTTTCAAATCTCCAGATTCCCTCTCACCTGCTTAAGCCTTTCCAAAGACATGTTTCCCAGCCTGTCTTGCTGGACTCTGCAGAGGTTTCACGGGGACAGAAGAGCATCATTTTTCTCCCATGTCTTGCAGATGCTGTTGAAAGTTCATCCCAGAATGAGCTTTGCCCTTTTCTGCAGCACTGATGATATCTGTGCATCCTGCTTCTCATTACACAATGCTGTTGTTACACTTTGCCCTTCAAATTGCTTTCTGCCCCTCTGGGCTTGGGATCATTCGTAGATTGGATGTGTGTGGGTTTTTTCCATTAGCTGGGTCTTTAATGAAAATAGTGATCAGAATCAAACCCAGGACAGACAGAAGAGAAAGCTTGGCTGTTTTGATCTGCCGTACTCTTGAGAAATCCTCATCACCTGCCCTGACCCTGGTTTCTGAAGGACACTGCGATGGTCTGCCTCCACGTGTGTGCTTGTCTCTAGGTTTCATCCCATCTTTCCCATGTAACTCTTGAATCCTGTTCAAACAAATTTAGGGAAGGCATGAAGATGTCTGAGATACAGCATTCCTGCAGTGGGCATGGACGACGCGTGGCCTGAGGACTGTACGCAGCCCTGCTGTCCTTGGTCAAGCCTGTAAGTAGGTATGAGGCAGGTTAGATGAGGCTGGCAACCAAGGGGTGTTGGCTAGTGAAGCAGGTGATGGTTCATCTGCCAGTTGGTCAGCACAGGCTTATCTGTGGACCAACAGCAGTGTGTGCTGGTCATCACCCAACCTGCATAAGAAAGAAAGGCTGATAAGGACGTGCTGGAGCTGCAGGCACTGTGTCTTGGGCTCATGGAGAGCGTGCACAGAACTGACCTTCATTTGGCACAATCACAGAATCATCTCAGTTGGAAAAGCCCTTGAAGCTCCTCCAGCCCAACCATGACCCTCCCTTTGACTGTTCCCAACTCCACCAGATCCCTCAGTGCTGGCTCAGCCCGACTCTTCAACCCCTCCAGGGATGGGGACTCCCCCCCTGCCCTGGGCAGCCCATTCCAACGCCCAACAGCCCCTTCTGCACAGAAATCCTTCCTCAGAGCCAGCCTGACCCTGCCCTGGGCAGCTTGAGGCCATTCCCTCGGGGCCTGGCGCTGGCTCCTTGGCTCCAGAGACTCATCCCCCCTCTCTGCCCCCTCCTGGCAGGGAGTTGCAGAGGGCCAGGAGGTCTCCCCTCAGCCTCCTCTTCTCCAGACTGAACCCCCCCAGTTCCCCCAGCCGCTCCCCAGCAGACCTGTGCTCCAGACCCTGCCCCAGCTCCGTTGCCCTTCTCTGGCCACGCTCGAGTCATTCAATGGCCTTTTAGGGGTGAGGGGCCCAAAACTGAACCCAGGAATCGAGGGGCGGCCTCACCAGTGCCGAGTCCAGGGCTCAGATCCCTTCCCTGTCCCTGCTGGCCACGTTATTGCTGACACAAGCCAGGATGCCATTGGCCTTGGCCACCTGGGCACACTGCTGGCTCCTGTTCAGCTGACTGGCCATCAACCCCCACTCCCACCCCCGTCCCCCTCTGACTAGCAATTTGTTTCACTGCTTATGAATCCCTTTAATTTATCACTTTAGTCAGACCTGTAAAAAGCTTTTTAATGCCAGAAACCAAAGTTGGACTGACTGCTCTGTGATTCCCAAGTGTTCTCCCTTTCCCTGTCCCTTACTTATGAGACCCCAGGCTCGCTCTTAAGGTCCTAAAGGTACCTGCTGGTGGCGTGGAGGTGAGCAGCTTGCGTAGGTAGGATGGGGTGAGTGCCGTCAAACTGCCAGCCTCCCTTACATCTCTCATGTTTATGTGACCTTCAACTCTTCCTTGTGTGTTGGACTCCATGCTTTAGGTAGAACAAATTATTTCAATACTGGGCACCTTAAGAAATGAAACAGCCTTGAATACATCAGCCCCCTCCAAGCCAAGCTTTATCTTCCCTCTTCCTTCCCCCTTCCAGTGAGGGCCTGCATAATTTCTTTGTCTTGGCCTTATTCCTACGGTATTTCCAGTACCTTTTCTTACTGCCATATGTGCTCCTGGACAGTTGCCTCAGGGTTTTATGGTTTTGCTTTGAGTAACCAGCTAGATGTGAACGTCTCTGGGAATTTCCTTTTGAGAAGTGCAACCTACCACTTCCTTGAGTTTATTCTCTCCGTGGTCCGTTGTTTGGATCAATCCACACCTGCTGAGGTATTTAATGCATTTACAGGCTGGAAATAGTTACTCAAAATAGCTATGCTCAAAAGTGTAAGGCATATCCATGAATGATTTCAAGAGGGAGATAGCCTCTACTCAGAGGGATTGTTTATTAGGGGCTGGAATTTGATATCCTGCCCACACAAAGCAGCATTTGACTCCAACAGCTTCTCAGCAGTAGCCCACCTGGGCTCGCTCCATGTGCCTGCAGTGTGTTAGGATCCAGCCCTGCAGGATGCATGCCAAAGCAAATAGGAGTTCTGGCAGCATTAATACAAATATGTGCAGTAATATCCAAAGCAGCTAACAAAACCGTCAATTTTTCAACCATTTTTTTTTTCATATTATTTTTACATTATTTGTTCTCCACTCCAGGAACTCAGGGGGTTTTGCTTTCTCGGGTAAACTGCTGGGACTGGCCTGGCGTTTGCACAGAGGAGAATGTCACTCAGTTTCCTACTATCAAGATTTATGAGAAGGGAGAGAGATCAGTGATGTACAACGGCATGTGGGGAACTGATGAACTAACCAGCTTCATCATGCTGTAAGTGTCTGTTAATGAGTCCCTGTGCAGTAAGATTGGCACATCTGCTAGATGATGTTCTGGATGCTTCACGTCCTGTGTAATCAAAATCATTTTCGGAAAAATAATGTCAGATCTGATTGTAGACCTGGTTTGGATGTTAGCTTAATAAATTTTTGTGCTTTTCTATGTCAGGGAACATCTGTTCTTGGACAGAGCATCCATCTGTTGTTGCTGGCCCTCTCTGGTGGAATTCCTTCTCTGTTATTTTTAATGGGGATCCCAAGGATCTCGGAGCAACCAGTTTGGCTCAGGGCTGTTCTCTCTTCCCCATAACAAGCTCCATTGCCTTTCTGTGACTAGGCATTGTCCTTCCTTCCCAGGAGACTGAGTTTTGTCTCTAAAGAGGCATAACAGTTGTCATATTGGGTTGGGGTGTTGTTGTTTTGGTTCAAGAAACCGATGAACATTTGTTGAACCAAAACATCGTTGTTTTGTCTCTTCATCCCCAAAGTGAAGAAGGCATCAGTCCATGTTGTTTCTCTGCCTTTCCATAGGAGCCGAGTTCCCTGCCCCCTGAAACTGGCCACAGTTGAGGAAGCAGAAGGATATTTAAGAGGAGAGTTTCCATCTGAGCTATCATCCTATCACCACACTTCGCTTCTAGGAGTATTCAGCACAGCCACGAGTGAAGGTTAGTGTGGTGTTTGTGGGTTAAGTGCTCAGCTTCATTCCTGATGGGAGGGGGGTGATTCCAAGTGCTTGGAAGTTCCTTGTGTTTAGTTTTCTCTGAGTATGTTTGCTCACATCACAGCCTGCCTGGCACCACCCTTTTTAGTTTTGCAGATAGAAGACCATGGGTGATTCCAGATGTGGGATCTAAGGTCCATATCCTGGATTAGAGGACATGCAGCTGCCAGACATTTTTACTACAGCCAGTGGGGTGGCATCTGACAACCCCCACCTGTCTCTGCAAAGACATTTTTTGCAGATGTCCAGTCTGAACTTACCAAGCCATGATTTGTACCTCTTGTCTCTGTGGTATCTCCTGCCTCTTACCATGAGGAGTTTGACTCTGTCCCCTTTATGAATCCCCTTCAGAGTGGTTGTAGACTGCCATTAAAACCCGTCGTAATCTCTGACTGAACAAGCCCAGATCCATCAGCCTCTTCTTGTAGTCTATATGCAACATGTCACAGCCTATTCTTTCTTAAAGAAAACCCGTTACACTATTGGATTGATAGTTATCTTGCTGACTCCTCCTCCTGCAAATGTGCTGGTCCCAGTCCTTGCAACCAACACACAGTCCAAAACCTTGCTTTTTTTTTTCCAAAAAAACCCAAAGCAGCAATAAGGTAAACTACAAATTTCTTACATCAGAAGGAATGAAATGTGAACATCTCAATGAAATGCACTTGTGGACTTTGAAATAGGTTGGCACAGCCCCCAGAGTGGTGGACGTCAACTAGAAATGCTAAACAAAGTTGCTGGCAGGATGTTCTGAGCTTGTTTGAATTTGTCTTGCTTTGAAGTCTCTACCGGTGTGGTCCTGGCCAGTGGCTGAAACTTGATGCTCTCCCTGCCCTGCCTGCTGCATAAGGTGCTGTTGGTCACTCAGATGCTGCTCCAGTATAATTTGTTGCATGCCATAGCTGTGTCCAGGACCCGCTGGGTTTCCACAGCCTTTCTGAAAGATGGGAAGATTGACCTGAGAGCTACGGTGATTTTTCATGTGACAGTTGTGTACATTAACAAGAGAGAGGGAATGAAGTCAGTCTGGAAAGGGGACACCATGTCATGCTTCAGTCAAATCCACAGCGTTGAGCTAGAACCTTCCAACCCCATGGTCTCTCAGTTACCAACTATCCCTGGGAATTACTGCATTAAAAAAAGGAGAATTTTCCCGTCTGTCATAAGATCAGAATTTCAGACTATCTTTCATTTTGAAGCTCCGTTGTGCCTGTAAATTTTGGTTAAATGCAAACCAAGCTATTTTCTCACATAAAGAGGTCCAGAGGGAATCCACTGTGCTCAGAGGTAAGAACAAAATAAAATGTCTGGAACCAAGCAATACCCACTTGGGCTGTGTTCACCGAGCCAGCTGACAGCTAATACGCCTGCCTTCTTCTGGAGGGTCTAAGTCTGTTACATATAGCAGAAAATCTTATCTCAAAGAACCCTTTAGCCCATTTCCCCCTGGTTTTCGTCAGCTGAGCTCCAAAATCTTCCCTCTATTCCACATATGCTGCTATGCTGTAGTGAGTGGAGCCTGGATTAGCCCCAGGGTAGGACCTTGGACAACATGGGGGTGGTGAGAGGGGTTCATGGAAGGAACCTGCCTGGATCTGACTGGATGTGTGAGCTCAGACTCTTTCCTATATAGAAGCTGTTCATTTCCTTCTGTGCAAACAAGTCTTGGAGGTTTCCAGACGGCTCAGTGTGGAGCCCACAAGATTGCCTCTTCCCTCGGGCACACTCAGTCTGCAACCTGGAACGGCATCTCAGTCTGGGGTAACTCAGCGGCAGACGCCCAGGGAGATGAAACACGTGGTGCTTTCACAGCCTCTAACTTGCAGGGTGTCAGAGGGTCATGCAGAACCACCTGAGGGAGCAGAAAACTGGAGCCAGCTGTGCTGGCACCAAACCCAGGCCAGACCCAGGGAAACTGCACTACTGTTCTTATCAGCCTGCAGGCTTATCTGGAATTTCCAATGATTGCCTCACATCAAGAATTCCTGCTCTAACCTGAAACAGCAACGTGCCATGTCATTATCATTTCTTGTTAACCGAAACAGAGCAATGAGATGTCCAGTTAAAAAAAGCCCTGGATTTTTTCCAGTGCTTAGCATCTGAGCTATGTTAAGAAGCCCTTCAGTGGGTCTGAGCTAAAAGGGGCTTATCGGAAAAATCATCATTAAAATTTATTACAAAGAGGTGAATGGTTTTATGAGGGCAACAAATGAGCATTTTTCTGGAAACTTTGAGAACTTATGGGAGAGAAATTTGTTTGCTCTGCAGAAACTGGAAGCATACTTGGAAGTAAGACTCTGTCCTAAACTGTGCAGCAAATGTTTAAAAATACACCTGTGTTCTGCAAAGCTCTGGTACCATCCTAGGGCTTGCCAGCATCGGTGTAAACCAAGAGAAGGCAGCATGCAAAGATGCTACAGGTGCTGCTGGAGAGCATGGTTCCACGAGATGCCTTCTACTAGAGGGATAGGGGGTTGTGCTCAAATCCTGTCTCTGGAAACTCCGCAGGAGCTGTAGAGCCTTCCTCAGCTGGCAGTTTTATTCCTTCTTGTTCGTAAATCCAGCAGTAAAGCTGGGCTTGTGCAATTCAGAGCAGCTGTTGTGGAAGGCAGCTGGGACTCCAGCTTGAGGCATGTGCTGCAGCACATGATCAGGCCCCGTGGAGAATTAAACTAGTGCTCTGAAGGGGGGGCAAATTTTCTAGGAAATATTTAAATAGCTTCTTTAAAAGTGCTTCTTGTCTGTGGTGGAGCTGTGTAAATTTGGGGGGTGGTGGTGGTGGTGTTCTGGCACGGAGCTAAGAGACTGTTGCTGTGAGCTGTTGAGAAGTGAAGACTGGTGCATGGGTCTGGCACATGGGTCTGGCAGAGTCTCCAAAATATGGAAAAATTTGGAAGCATGATAGGGGGGGAAGATCTCACCAGGAATGACTCTGATGAAAGGAATAAGCCTCTGCTGAAGGTTGTCCTGATTTAGGAGAGAATTCCTGCAGCCAGGGATGCTGCAGGGCAGCACTTCAGCACGGGCTTACATCTCAAGTGGGTGTTTTGAAGTTAAATGCCTGTAGAAATGCTCTCCTGAGGACGTGTGGATGTGAACCTGCTCTTTCCATGTCAGGCCATGTCCTTTAGTGCCTTATGGCACAGGCAATGCTCACGCTCTGCCCCGTGGCCTTTTCTCCAGTGGCTGGGGCACAGACAACTTCACAAAGGGCTTGTTGGTGAAGTTCTTGGTGATCCTTATCAGCTGCTCCTATGGGTTTCTCTCAACACTGATAAAATCAAGTCACCAAAGATCGAAGAGCTGGAAACCGATGTCAAACCCATCCAATGGTGGTTTCTCTATATCAGAAGATGAACCAGCCAAGCTGTGTCACCAGCTTTGTTGTATGTGTGTTGTTTCCTACCATGTCTGGACCCTCAACGAGCCACTCCTTTAAGGATCTAAGCTTCCATTTGGAAAGGAAAATACCATAAAGGGAAGTTTGTGGTCCCTGTGGTTCTAGGGAGACACAATGGAAAATACGGCTTTGAGTGTAGCTGGAAAGCAGGAGGCAAAGCATCAAAAAGTGACCAGTTGTGAGCCAGCTTCAGTCTTTTGAAGTCTGAGTCACTGGTCCCCAGGGCTTGGGCTGGCCAGTTGTGATATGGCGGTGACTGAGAAACACTAAATAGTATCTGAATGAGTTCTTGTTTAATTTCTAAAGCAACATGTGTTATGGCTGTATCTGAGATGTAACCTTAATTCTTGGGAAAACCTGACTTCTCCAAAGAGTGTGTCGGAAGAGCCTTTTTTGTTGTTTTCAGTTGCTCAATACAAAGGGGGAGGGGTGGTGATGTTGAAATGTGCCCCGTTCTCACCCTACCTTTGGCAGCAGTGGTTTTGATCTCTGATCTATAACCATATTTTACAGACTCACGCAATATGGCTTGCATGTTCTCACAAAGCTTGTCCCTCCCATGGATCCAGTTGCCTAAAACTGGATGTTTTATAATGGCATAAACCAGCTCTGAAATTGGCTTCATTTTGGGGCTCCGCTTTCGGTCTCTCAGCACGGATAGATTCAGCTGTGATGGATCAAGAAAGCCCCAACCCAGTCCTCTCCTTCCTCCCCATCCTCTACCTGCCCTCACGGTCTCGCAGTGGACTCCAGCAGCCACTGCACAGGGTTTTTGTGTCTTTGGAGGTGCTGCCCTCTCGTTTTTAGCTGCACAAAGCAGTGGAACATGCTGTATCTGCAAGGCATTTAGCTTTTTGACCTTCCCTATCCTAGCTGGATGCTCGTAACAGACCCTGTCTGTTCTGAGGAACTGGATAAAACGAAAACAAACTTGGGGTTTATCTGTTTAACTTATTTGTTAACTTAGTTTATCTGTCGAGCACTTAGCACTGCCTCAGTTAAGTCACCATCAGTCATTTCCAAAAGGGAACCGGGATTTATAAGATTGCTGTTTAGATTTATAATTGCTCTCCTGTTTTAGAGAAGACTTACAGACTTCAAGTCCTTAAAGACATTTCATTTTCCAGCAGTGCCTCTGTCGTGCAGATCCTGGAAACTCAGTGCTGGTGGCTAAAGAGCAAGTACTGTTCTCATAATAGGAACTTTCCTTCTGATCCTTTCTGCCAACTCCTCCTCCCATAGCCTGCAGCCACGAGATGAATCCATTTCTCATGAGCCTCTCATCATAATTTTGTTCCCAGCTGACTGTTTGCTGTGGGAGCATTTTATGTATGCAGGCAGCCATTTGATTTCCAGGAGGAAGCTGACACTTCTCATTCTAGTGTGGTTTTTTGTATCTTTGTCTTTTTTACAGCCAGGGAAGCTTTCGAAGAGGCAGGAAGCATCTTAAGTGGCCATGTAACAATGGGGATGTATTTTGAAGATGATGCCTTGACTTTGTAAGTTGTGTCTCCTTTTCTTTGGGGAGAATTCAACCTGATCTGCATTTAGTGAAAGTCAATGCCTAGAGCAAGTGTCAGGGCTGTGCTGAGTGTTTAACAGCAGCCACAAACAGCTACGAGTGACTTAGTCCTGTAAGGAGATTGGTTGGGACTCAGCCAAAGGGAGATGTAGCCCTGGCTCTGCCACTGATTTGCAGCCTCTCCATGGTCAACTCATTTAGCCCAGTTAAAATGAATGGTCACCTCCGTTTCTGCTATTCAGGTTCATTCTGGGTTTTTTCAGTCCTCCAACCCTGCCAGCCCCCAGACATTTGTCATGTTCCTCATGCAGACAGGACTAAATTTTTATGGATGAAAAAACAGGCTGGAAATATTATACCTTCTAGCTTGGATCTGTGTGAGGAAGAAAAAACACTTCTGCCCTTCTCTTTCCATCAGGAAGCCGTGATGAATTGTTACTGGTCTTCCTCTTTCCGTAGTCCCTTCACCTTCTCGTCTCCTCTTCCTGCTGCAAAAGCACCCACTGAGCTGGGGATGGGGAAGGGGAGCATAAGGTGATTGCTGCAAAGCCAGGGGTGTAAATGTAAGTTGCTCTGATGGTTGCCCCCAGTTGCCAAGAGTAGCCAGAAGAGGCTGCTTGTGACTACTTGCAGGCTTTCTTGGCTAGCAGGTGTTGTGTCTGAGTGCTGGAAAATGGTTTGAAAGCCCTGAAATAAATGCTGTCTTCCCGTGGAGCTGCCTTGGTGTGGAGCAGACGCCTTTCTGCAGCCCTGTGAAAGGCATTAAACCCCTTCGGGTCTCAGCCAGCTTCCCGGTGGGCACTCACATCTTGCTGTGAGATGTCTGCAACTGCCAAGGGTGGGGAAGAACCTACCTTTATCTTTTCAACAGTTCATCTTACCGTGGATCTTTTTGTCTTGAAAGATGCGCTTATCTGTTTCCCTCCCTTTGGCAAGAGCAAGATGTTACCACCAGTTCCAGACAGAGCTTTGAGGAGCTGCATCCTCTTTCTGGAGGAAGAGTGCTAGAAAAATATAGTGGCTTTCCTCCTGTACATATGGTGGAGGAGAAGTCAAGATTTTCTTGGTCAGTTTTTGATTAAATAAGAACATCAGTTGTGGCCCTAACTTTAAGCCAAATTGGAGCTAATGAGATCTGAACATGTATCAGTCTGTGCACTTAATGGTGTCATTAAGACTCGCTCCAGCAAGGAGCAAAGCACTTTGGATTAGACTGAGAGATGCTTCAGTGCCTATAAATACAGCTAGATCCAGGGGGAATCTTCACCTTGTCCTGGCATCTCATTTCCATCAGGAATTAGCTATCAAGGCAGAGTTAAAAATCCCGGAAGGTCCTTGGCCTGTTTTCCAGGTGTGGGTTTAACAGCCAGTAATGCAACAGTGGATTATTTTCATTAGTTTCTTACAGATGCAATGCATCCCTAATATCTCTGATGAGACATGGGTATTTTTGTGGTATGCAGGGAAAATAAAAATGCAAATATCCTGGTAGTGCAACTCTATTAACGAAACTGTGCTTAAAGCACCGGCTGTGGTTGGGTCTTAGAAGTGAGGCAGTGCCAGGCTTGTTCAGTGCTGGGGTGAGAGGCCACAGGGCAGGTACAGAATTCACAACCAGCAGCATCAGGGTGAAAAACCTGACACCACCCCCCCAAGCTAAGGGTCTCCTAAGGATCTCAGGCCAGATGATAGAAGGAAGAAAAGCAAAGGAGGGCAGGGTGATCTTACAAAGCAAGATACCAGTAGAAAAAGCCTGTGTTCTCTCAGCAGTGACACATGCAAGAACACACCTCCATCCTCCTGCTCCAGCCGCAGTCTGCAGCGTGCTCCTGTTTAGTTGGAATAGTTAATACAGTTTATATTGATATTCATTCTGCCAAGTTTGGATTTTGGCTGTGATTTGTGGGTGAAGCTACTGTAGATGGTCATCTTCTCAACTGTAAGTAGAAAGTAAACACTTACAGGAATTCCTTATGCAAGAGCCAGGCTCACTTCCCTTTTTAAGAAAAGCAAAGCTATTCTTCTGCTAAACACTCAAGGAGGAAATGTTTGTGGCTCTCAGGTCATGGAAAGCTGATTCCCCTCTTCCCAGAGAAAAAGGTATACAAAGTACACAAAGAATGTTGTTAGCAAAACTGCTCAGCAAGCACCTGCTCAATTGGTAACTGCTGAAAAAAACCCAACACGTTAAGGAAGAAATGCTTTGAATGAAGCCATTATTTATTTCTCAAACACTTAGATGTCATAGATTCCTGCCAAGTATTTGTTTGCAGATGTTTTTGATTTAAATGCAAGTCTCGGATTACCCATCGCATGCCCCTTCTGTATAAATAAAAAGCTACTGTAAGCAACAATACCACCACTTGGTACCAGTAAGATGAGAAGTGATTTCAGGGTAGACTCTAGCTATTAAGAGGGGGAATTTATTGATTTTCTGGCCATAACTTCCTTATCAGAGGCTGGTAAACAAATTAATGTATTTAGATAGAGGGAACAAGAGTCCTTACCTCCTCTGAGAAGCCAGAGAGTCTTTTTACGACTTATAGAAGACTTAAGAAGTTAAAAATCCCTGAATTAAAAAATTTTCTAGGGTCTCACCATTCTTAATTGATTGCAAATACAGGTTAATTTGAAAAACAACAGAGAGGAAAATTAAGGACCTTCCTAATAGATCAAAGGATTCCCAGTCATGACCAGAAGTGCAAAACTCAGCTTCCCTGACTGGTGGAGCTCGTGAGTCTGGGCAGAAAGGAGAAGGCTTAACTCAGGGCTGGATTTACAAAGATAAATTTAAAAAGCAGAGAATACTGCAAAATGAAACTGAAATGGCTCAGATAAATCCAAGAACAGTTTAGCAGCAGGATTCACAACATTTGAAGGCCCCATGAAAGTCCAAGGTCATTTATTACTGCTGCTCTTTGTCAAGACATCAGTGCAACCCCATGGTGCCCATGAGAAATTTGTATTATTTCCAGAGAAGTGCTGCGATGGAGGAAATGAAAGGCCTACATATGCACTGAACATCATGGACATGTGTTATCTGCAGTTCCTTCCATTTGTTTTGTCATTGATGACCTAAACCTCCAAACACTGAGACTTTTTAAAGCAAATTTGAACTGATCTCGATCCCATTCAGAACTGCTAAAATAAGTGTCCAAACTGAACTTTGGGCAAACCACGGAGAGAAGTGCAATTGGTTGTAACATGGCTCTTCTATGAGCTGCCTGTGCGGTAGGCTGAGCCTGTGTTACATCTTTCTCATATGAAAAAGAAAAAAAAAAAAAAAAGAAAAAAAAAAAAAAAAAGAATAGACCAGAGTACTTCTGAAAAGGAAATCGAAGGGTTTTCACCTCCCCACCTCCACAACCCAAAACGTCCTTACACCTCTCTCACTTCCCCAGCAAGTCTGCTGTCACAGCCTTTGAGAAATTACCAGCAGCCTTTGAAAAATAAACTACAGACACCCCCCAAAAAACTGTTGAGGCAGCTGACTTCCTCCTTCACGCCCTTCCTCTGGGCACTGACATCTGGAGCCTTCAGGGCTGAAGTTCCTCAGGCTTCCAGAAAACGGCTCTCCCATCTTGGTTTACCCCCTGCCCTTTCATTGCTTAGACTTCTCCTATTTTTGCTCTTTCCACTTTCTCAGCTTTTCTTTAAATACCCTTGAACCCTCTGAACCGAAAGAACATCGGGGAACAAAGGGTGAGCTGGCTTCTCCATCAAGAGTATACATGTGTAGGTCGTGTGTGTGGCTCTAACGTGGGGTCGGACTTCAGCAAAATTGCCCGTGTTCACCAAGCCAAAAATCAGATCTTCTGAAGCTTATTTTGTGTAGGTTGATGTCCCTCGAATGGGCTCTAAGACCTTCTGTTTGCCTTGGCTTGGGAGGCAGGGTAAAGCGCTGGGTGGGTATTTGCACCACCTAACCTTAGGTGTGAAAATGAAAAAGAAGTGCCAGCAAATAGTTCAGATGGATTTTTCCAATTATTTAAGGCTGATGGCTTTTTGCAGAGGAAATATCCGGGTTTGTGTGTGTGTGTATTTAGTGTCTGGTACAAGCTGGGTAAGTGGTTGTTTCAGAAGGGGACAAGGGAACACGTCAGCCCCGTCTCTCCCCATTGAATCAGAACGCTGCAGGGGCTGGAGAGGGGGTGACGGGGAACGTGATCCTTTCCTTCTCTAACAGCAGCTTTTCCCTCCCCTACATCCCTGTCCCCACTTTTCCCCATGAGGATACCAGCTCTGCCTGCAGCAGGTTTGATGTGTGCCAAATCCCCCGGCCGGTTCGTGTGACCATCCCTTTTTTTCAGATCCCGTAAATATGCAGTTTCTCCCCCAGCCCTCCTCCTTGCCAGGAGTGGAGGTCAAAGCGTGGAAGGCATCACTTTATCCAAACAGAACGCGCAGGACATGGTGCAGATGATCAGATATGAATTGCTGGACATTTTTGTAAGTTTAAAAAAAAAAATAATTTTGTCCTTTTCCCATTGCGGTCATTTGCAGAAGCACTGATTATAGCGTGGAGCTGTGCAAAATATGTTTGCTCATTATTTCTATCATGCTGAGTTACATTTGTTTTTAAATTTTATGTTATGGATCAGACAGTCTGGACAGAAATCTGCTGTTTGCTGTGTGGTCTTGTGGGAGGAGAGACCCTGGGAGTCTATGGCCTGGTTTGTGCCTGTAGTCACAGACCTGCTGCTGTGGTGGCTTGGCCTCTCGCAAGGTCTGCTCCTTGCTTCTTCCACATGCCTTTCAGAGACCGGTTTTAGCCGTAAGATGTGGAGCTGGGCTGAGCTGGTCTTGCTTCTGCCTTCTCTGCTCACACCCTGTCATCTGAGAGTGCACAGCTGCTCATACAGACTTGGCTTGCAACGGGCAGACTTGGGCGTAGGCATCTCCAACGTGCACCAAGATCCCAGCACCCACACTTGTTTTCAAGCTGCTTGCATTCAACATGAACCCTACAGCTTTGCTGAGTCCCTGCACCCCTCACATAAGGACAGAAAGTCTAATTTTGTCCTGTGCTCTTCTCCCTATAAACCCCAACTTCTTGTTTTGATGTCTTGCAGCCAGAAATCACCGTGCAAAATCTGCCTCGGTACTTGCAACTCAGAAAGCCCTTCCTCATCTTGTTCAGCGATGATGACATCGGTCAAATAGAAAGCAAGGAAATGCTGAAGCTGGCAAAAGGAAGACCCCAGCAAGAGTTTGTGGCTTGCTGGTTGAACTTGTGAGTGTATAAAAACCTCTTTTCTCTTTCCGTTAGCTCTCTCTTAGTGTTTCAGGGCAAGAAAAGCCTGAGTCTGCAATTACTGAAAACACTATCTGGCTGGTAATGTGATTATTCGGTCTGAAGTCATCATGAGTTGGGAGGTCAAAGCATTTAGCAATGATTCAGTATGTGTTCTGGGCAGCTGCAAAATTGCACGACAAAGTAAAATTTGTAAAGGTTTAATTGATTGAAGAAATAATTTTCAGTAGAGTAAAATGTTCTCAAAGATATCGTGTGGTAGCTTGATCCTGGCTCTGGTGTTATTCGTGTTTTTGTTGCATGTGGGAGAAAAGAGTAAATTTGCCCTCCTGGAGTGTCTTATGGTCATTTTTCCACAAGCAATTAGAAGGAATCACAACAGGATAATTACTGATTATCGACTGGGGTAGAGTTTTCAGAAGAAGGGACAGCCAGAAGAAGCCCCATAAGGCAAACTTAAACAATACTCAAGAAATCAAATTACTCCGGGAGCTAAGAAATAGAAAGTTGTAGGAGAGGGGATTTTTTTTAATCCTCCCCACACTAGTTGCGTTTTCAGTTTTTAGCCTCTGTTTGTTTTGTCCAAGTCCAGAGACACCTCACTGTCTTAATCATAGCGTGCTTTGAAGTCTGGGAAGTGCCTCGCAGCGTGGGCTGAAGTTTAGCTAACGGGGAATGCACATGTTTTCAAAGAGAAGACGATTTGTTTGCCAGTAATGCACAAGAAACGAGAGCCCTTGGAACTTCCCCACCTACACATCTGCCTTTGCTCTCCCTGAGAAAGGGAGCGCTGTCCTTTGTCAGAACAAAAGTGCATTACCACAGAAGAGGGCAAATACGGCCATTGGCTCAGAAAGAATAGCACAGTCCTCGAAAGAGGACCTCCTTCCATAGCGAGAGCCAACTCGCACCTCGAGCATCACTCTCAGCCTGAAGATAGTGCTGGAAGCACTCAGCGTCTTCATGGGCTTGCTGTGCCTCCATCTCAGTGTCCTCTCTTGGCTCTCTCTGTGTCACCTGGGGGAGTTGCCATCCCAGCTCCTCGGGCTGCAGGGAAGCACCCAGCAGCTGCCTAAGGGGCTGGACCTCCTGAGCACAGCCCGTGTCATCACCTCCTGCCTTTCCAGCCCTGGGACTTGCCTCGCAGTGGGGCAGTGGCAGCAGCTGGGCTGGAGGGAGCTGGTAGCTCTGCCTACAAACACGGACTAACCACGGGGGCTGCAGGATCTGTCCTGCTCCTGTCTCCCCTGTCCTTAAAAATTTACAGTGGAGAACGTTTCACACCCACCTACAGAGTTTGCCCCAGCTCCTCCTGCTCGAGGATTTCTTTCCACATCTAATCTGCTGCCCACTCGCTCCCCATCTGACCCCGAAGTCTTGCTTAAGGCATTGAGTTAATAAATACTGCAGTGAGCTTCTACAGCTGTCCCGTAGGCAAAATTTGCTGGATGTGGCTCAAGGGCTTTGGTGCTTGCTCAGCTCTCCATCTTGTGCTATCAAACCTCTGGTGAGCAAGTTGAATCTCCTCTTCCCCACAGGAAGAAGACTCCGGTGGGACGCGGGGTCCTGAAGGCATATTTTGCCACCATGCCTTCGCTGCCTGTTCTCGTCTGGGTGAACTTTCATGCGGGGGGTCAGGTATTCAAGTTTCCCTCAGAGCAGTCCATCACTGAATTGAACATCTTGTCTTGGCTGGAGAAGCTAAAAGCAGGCCTGGAGGTTCCCAGCAGTAAGTGGACGCGCGTTTGTAACGTTCCTAAGCACACACTGTTAGCTCCAGTCTGTTTATGAGAAGATGCTACGTGCAATAAATTGTCTGCCTTGGAATTTAATGATGGAAAAACTAGCTCTGCTAGTTTCAGCTGGAGAAGTACAAATAGTCCGGCCAGAAGAGAATACCCGCACTCACAAGTTTACTTTGGGACTGTTTAAGGTTCAGAGCCAAGTTCTGAATCGACATCTCTTCCCCACGATACTCCCCAAACTTGGCTGTGCTCTCTGGTTGCTGTGAACAGACCTTCCGAAACACAGCTTGCAAATAAAAAATCTCCTGAATCTCAGGTGTTAGCATAAGAAATAGCTGCTCTTAAGGCACCTCCCAGCATTTCTTTTGGATGGGAGAGGGTAAAGAAGTTGGTGCTTTGTTGTGGTCTTTGGGACATCAAGGGTTGGTTTGTACCATGGAGCTTTTTGCTGCCTCCCTCCTACCTGGATCAGCCTGCTGAAGCTTTGGAGGAAGGCAGCACGGATGTGCCTTCCTCCTGTCTTACATGTAGCCATGGGATGCTCCAGGGATCTTGGGAATTGTTGGCTACCAACCTGCTCCAGACTCTGGAAAGGCGATGGTGTAACTCCACATGATCTTTCTGACTTTTAAAATAAGCCTTTGAAAGCAAGTGGTTCCAAAAGCTGGCATCAGCCTGATAGGTGGGATGTGTAGGCTCTTACCGGAGCTGAAGACAACCCCATGAGCCAGTAATGCACCTGCACCTCTTTCCATTGCCACTGCTAAAGGCTGTCATGTAGGTCTATAAGGCAGGGACCTTAGTTTTCAGGGGTGTTGGAGGGGTGAGCTGATGGCTGAGCAGCTCACGGCGTGGCCGAGGGCTGTGCCAACCATCACATCCTCCTTCCTCAGGCTTTTAAGTGCTATGAACCATGTGATCGGTCTTAAAAGCATAAATTAAAGAGCATCCTCACGTAATGGGACCGCTTCCTCCTCGTATAGACAGCAGTCTCCCCTCACTCCTGATGGTGTCTCAGTAATGTGCAGTCATTAACACAGTTATCTGAGACCCGAATGAAACTTCCACCTGCTGTGACCTTTGCAGTGGGGGTGCCTGAGGAGAGAGGATCCCCATAGCCTCCAGGGAGTGGAGCCTAATGCACCCCTGACTGGTTTAATTGGGGTGGTGGTATTAATTTTGATGGAAAGAAGGTGATCTTTAAGAAAATATTTTCATTTTGCTTTCACTGGAAGGGAAAAAAAAAAGCTGTAATTCCTTTGAAAGGGAAATCTCTGTGGAGTGGGGCTGCATAACTTAACTTCTTAACCCGGGACTGTATTTGCTTCTCAGGTACCTTGTCTGACGAAGACTGGAAACCGCCTCTCCCCGCTTACAACTTCCTCCAGATGATGGAGACCGCGGTGCCCGAGCTCCCCCTCCACACCCCCCAGCGCCACGGGGACACGCCAGCAGCACAGCACCCACCCGAAAGCCCCGGAGGGGACACCACCACCCAGGAGGAACCATCCCGGGAGACCAAGGCAGAGAAAATGGCGTCCCCTGGGAGAGACCTGCGGGGGACAGCCCCCAGGCTGGCGGCAAGGGAGAAGCAGGGCAAGAGACACAGCGAGCTTTGAGAGCTGAGCGTCCCCTTGCCCAGGCCAGTGAAAGATGTGGGACGGTGCCTAGAAAACCTTAATCACTTTCCCACCCCTCCGTGAGCCTTTACACGAAGGAGAGGAGTGCTTTCAGCTGTAAATTAATGGTGAAGGGATAAACCAGCCCCTAAGTCTCCCTGTGAATGCCCTGCTGCAGTGTGCTGGTCATGCTGCGGTGGCTGTGATTTCTGGTGCCAGAAATATGTCCGTACACCCCACACCTTGGCTCCCCCCAGACTGTATTTCACAGCAAGAGGCAAGAGATCTGCAGGGAGGTCGCTGCAAGGGAGCTCAGCCCACCCCATAGCTGGGGGAGAGCTGGGGTGAGCTCACTGCACGCTGGAGCCTCGCCTACGCCACAGACTACACTGGAAAAGTCAAATCAGCTCATCCCTGCTCTGTACTTTCTGTATGTCTCACATAGGTGCCCCCGAGCAGGAAGGGGTGAGTGATTCCAGGATAAAAAGCACATTTCTCTCCCCACTGGTTGCAGTGGTGGCTCTACTGTTGCATGTCGGCAAGCCCTGCTCTCAAAAAGTGATCGCATCTGTGCTGTAACCGTGTGGAGCTGGGAGGGCAAGCGTGCCACCCACTCCAGGGCTGCTGAAACTGGCACCTACTTGTGTTTACACCTGACTTGTGAGCTGAATTCATGAGCGTGTTCATCATCCTCGGGGGTAAGAGGAGTATCTGGTTACAGCAGTTTTATTAGGAAGGCCAGAGCTCAGGTCATTGCAAGAGCCGTGAATAGCTGGGACAAAAATTTGCCAGCAAATCCCCAGGGCGGGCAGGTTGGAAAATGGCTTTGCTCAATGCTGGCATTTTCTTGGTTACAAGCCCAGGGGGTTATTTGCAGCCTCGATTTTTCTTTGCTCTCAGTGACAGCGGCAAGGTTGGTGCCTCCTGAGCTGGGGATGGTGCAGGGAGTGAGGTTTGCAGAAAGCCCAGTTCTTTGGAAACGAGGGGAGGGAGATGAAGGGCAAGGCTGGCAGTGCTGGGGCCAGAGGCTTCTGGAGCGGAGTGGAGCTGCTTCACATACATATCTGGGTAGAGAGACACTGGGGAAGTGGCTTTCCAGCCTCTGCCCATCTCTGGGGGACAGCAAAAGGTCTGTCATTCCTTGTTGGAGGACCTGAGGGCCGATGTGAGATGTGGGCTGGGGAGAGCTGTGGTTTTGGAAGGAAGCTTTGCCTAATCCCACCCATGCCATGACGATCTTCCCACCCCCTTCAATAAACCTCTGTTCCCTTCCACAGCACCGCTGAGGTGTGCCGGGAGGCTCAGATCCTCCTCCTCCTCCTTATGGCTCTAAAGTTACTGGGGAAGGGAAAAATGGGTGGTGAGGAACTGCTGGGAGCATTGTAAAGTCTATTTCTCATCCTGCAAGCAGCCCACATGGTTGGGAGTATTTTGAAATGCCCAGAAATAGACCATTAGTCCTGGGTTCTTCTTGTAACCCTTAATTGAAACAGACCATTTTTGGATTTAATGACAGGCTTAGAGCCAAAAATATATGTATTTAAAGTAATAAGCTGGAGCATGCAGACCAGGGCCTGCCATGCAGCTGAGGATTCCCAAGGGAAGGAGGAGTAGGTCAGGGCACCAACAGATCCTCCGTGAGTTCCTGTCATTCCTCAGCTGGATAAGGTCGTTACGCCGCTGTACATCAGTCGTTTCCCATCCTGTCCCTAATGACGCCACTGCTGGTGCGACAGCGTTGCTCTCTCTCTTAGTGCAGGTGAAGTGTGACGTTTGGGCTTGTCATTGCTGTCTTAAATAAATTCTCTCTCGAGTACAGTCCATCTGCATCTGTCTTGGATGCAGTGTGGTGAGTAGAGGGGCTGGTGTCCTGGACTGGGGGAAGCAGAGGTGGACAAATCCCTTTGGGAACACTCCCCCAGCCTGCCGAGCCCTGCAGGAATGCTCTCTTCCTTCAGCAGGGTTTGTGCGAGATGAGGAGCATCCTGCCATCCCCGTGCTTCTTGGCTGCGTGTCTTTTTTTCAGTCACAGCACTTCTCTTGTGCAGCACTGGGCAGGAGCTTGTCACTAGGGGTCAGTGCCACATCTCCGTTATGGCTGCAAAAATTACTGCCTCTGCTTAATTGATGCTGGAGCGTCGCTGCCAAAGCAATGGGGGATTGGGGAACAGTTATCCAGTGGGTCCTGTGGGGATGCTGGTGGCTGAGGGGCTGTTTGCTCCTTGTGGCAGGCCCGGAGGGCTGGGGAGTCCTGACTCTAAAGGCTTGAGCCCCCACGTCAACAACAGAATTACAGAATCCCAGAATCATTGAGGTTGGAAAAGCCCTTGAAGCTCCTCCAGCCCAACCATGACCCTCACCCTGACCATTCCCAACTCCCCCAGATCCCTCAGCGCTGGCTCAGCCCGACTCTTCAACCCCTCCAGGGATCCCGGGGACTCCCCCCTGCCCTGGGCAGCCCATTCCAACGCCCAACAGCCCCTTCTGCACAGAAATCCTTCCTCAGAGCCAGCCTGACCCTGCCCTGGGCAGCTTGAGGCCATTCCCTCGGGGCCTGGCGCTGGCTCCTTGGCTCCAGAGACTCATCCCCCCTCTCTGCCCCCTCCTGGCAGGGAGTTGCAGAGGGCCAGGAGGTCTCCCCTCAGCCTCCTCTTCTCCAGACTGAACCCCCCAGTTCCCCCAGCCGCTCCCCAGCAGACCTGTGCTCCAGACCCTGCCCCAGCTCCGTTGCCCTTCTCTGGCCATGCTTGAGTCATTCGATGTCCTTTTTGGGGTGAGGGGCCCAAAACTGAACCCAGAAATTGAGGTGCATCAAGCTGATCTATTAGCTTGAACCTCCTGACTGGGTTTGGGGGTACTGGGTCCCCCAAGCAGAGCCCAGCCAGCAGGCCCAGTGCCGGCACCTGTGGTAACATGGGTAAGGGACATGCTTGTCCGTGTTCCACCGCCGCTGGCATCAAATTGGGTTGGCAGCTGCATTTGCTGGAGCTGCTGACTGTGAGCAGGGGATGGGGGTTAGGGTCCCAGACCACATCAGCGTTCATGGGTCTGGCTTTGAGTTTGTTGAGATTTTTTTTTTTTAAATACAAAATTTCATTTTCATTGTGTAGCACAAGCAGGCACTTAGGGAAATCTATACCAAGGCATATATGTGCCAGGAAATGTGTGGACAGGGAGAAAATATTAGGGATGCTCAGGACAGTTTGTGGTCTGCATCCTGCAGCACACTCATTTATGCGCGAGGTTGTTTTGAACAGCTGTGGCTCTGGGGACAAACCAGTGCAGAAAGAAATATTTAGTGTGTGTTTATGACCTTAAGTGAGAAGCAAGTTGGAGGAAGGAGAGCTATGGACCCTGAGGGGCAGCTGTGAGGGACAGAGTGCATCCCACCTGGCTGGAGGAGCAAAGATGTGGAAGGCAGCCAGCAATCGCAGAGGGGATGACAATCTGTATCTACCACTTTTCTGTGTCTCGGCACATACTGATGCTGAAGTGAGGCCATACCACAACACATGCTGATGCTATCGGCTCCTCTTTCAACCATTTAACACTAAAAGACATATCTCTCTGGGTAAACCACAGATCTGTCTTCATAGATGATGGTAGTGAGGTGCACTCTGAGCTGCAGAACTGGTAGATTTCCTGATAGACATGGTATTGAGTACTTAAGGCTTCCAACCAAACTCTTCTTTTGATGGTATTTATTTCAGTGTTACACCAAAGGTGGTATTTGCATGCACTTCTTGCACTTTGGGAGCCTTTCAGGGGGTGTTTAAATATCAGTGGTTGATCGGAAGATAAAATACTGATACACAAAAAAAAAAGGGGGGTGGGATTATGTTTGTCCTGGAGAGCAAAACAATTTAAATTCTTGTCCAAAGCAATAGGAAATTCCCCAAGTGCTGTGGTCTGACTGGTCTTTTGCCATCCTCGATGAGTCCTGCAGAGCCGTCACCATCATTTAGGAGGGAGGAAGGCTTGCAGCAGCAGCAGGGTGAGGGAATGGTAAGGGTTTGTGTTGTGTTTTCCATGTTTAAAGAGCTTTTAGAGGAACGGTTACAGAGGTGCCCACTGCGCGATGGGGCCGAGGTGTGGTGGATTAAACAGTGTGAAAGCCCATTTGGTGGCAGCTGACTTGGGAGCCAGCACGCTCCCGCCTGCTCCCACTGACATCTCTGTTGGGTGCTCTCCAAACCAAGGGACATCGGGAAGCAATCCTGGTGTTTCTCCCAGCTTTTTCACCCTTTGAGAGGACAGCAAAAGACGTGTCCTTGTGGTGGAAGGTGAATTTTCCAAACTGTCTGTTCTCAGCCCATCCTGGACCACTGGTGGTCACAGTCCCTCCCACTAAGCCTCTCTATGGCCGGACTCTGCCGTAGGGATACAGCTGCAGGACAGTGGAAGAGAAGGCTGTAGCAGAGAGTAGCTGGGAGAGGACATTGTCCCCAGGAGGGACATGCTGCAAGGCAGGAGCAGGGACACGGGAAGGACACATCTGCCTGTGCACAGGCAGCTGCCGCGCCAGTGGGTCCTGGCAGTGCTGCCAGGATGTGAAGCAGGACATAGACCTGCTGGGCTGGCTTGTGTCTCCTGGGCTTGTCGGTGCCTGGTGCTGCGTGGGGACGGGGGGTCTGGCAGGGCTGGGGGACTGTGGGGACTGGTCGCTCCATCTCATCTGGTGGCTCAGCCTGGCAGAAGTGCTTTCCCTGCTGCCAGCCGGCATGGCAGGTTCCTCTCCGTCATGGCTTGGCTGTGATCCCTGCCGTGGGGCACCCTCCCTGGCCACAGACCACCCTCTCTGGCCATGGAACACCCTGCCTGGCCACGGAGCACCATCTCCCTCCGCAGGGCCCTGCCAGCAGTGACAGAGCCATGTCTTCTGGGTGAGGCTGGTCTCCTGCCGAGGCTTTCTCAACTCACCTCAGGCAGGTGGACAGCCAGAGCTCAGCTCACTCAATTTTACAAGGGTTTTGCAAACCATCCTGGTACCCAGAGCTGTGATCCCAGTGCCGCTGACATTGCCCAAGGGGATGGGAGAAGGGTCCTGTGGTTCCACAGCCCCAGGGATGGTCCCTGACAGCCAGCAGGTTCCCCTGCCCAACCCAAACCAGCTCCCTGAGTGCACACATGTCCTTGCTGCTGGCTGATTTGGGGCAGGGCTGGTGACTGAAGCACAGTGATGGGAAGCAACCTGAGGGGAATCTGGAGACAGACAGACAGACAGACAGACGTTGGTCCGGGGGTGGGACAGGAAGCAGCCAGTGCCGTACTGGCACGGCTGGAGATGGCAGAGGAGCTGCGGTAGGGAAAAGAGGGTGCAGAGGCAGGATGGAGCTGCAATGTGAGATAGGGGATGGTGTCTGGGCGGGATGGGTTTCCTCGTTGCGTGAGGTGGCTCTTCCACCTGGTGTTTCCATTGCTAAAAATACAACCATGCTCCTGGTGCAGGCCCAGGGCAGGTACCTGCAGCACCCAACCCCACGCTGCCCGTGGTAGCTTGCAGGGTGGCCGTGATGGGGGTCTCCATCCCTCCTACCCCGTGCTCAGCAGGGGCAGGAGTTGGGTCTCAAGGGCACCACTGGCTCCATCCTCTTGGAGCAGGAGATCAGGATGGAGCCGGGATGAGCAGCCTGAACCAGATCTTCATAGGACACCTCTTCGTATTTTCCCAACAGAGAGGTGCTCCACCTCCAGCACCTGCTTCTGATACTGCACCCATGGCTACGGAGTCCTGCCGTGTCCCCAGGCCGGGTGAGGTGGGTGTCCATGCAGGGACCTCGCTGCTCTCACACCCAATGAGCTAAGTCAAAGACCAGGCTGGAAGAACAGCAACCACAATGGACCATCCCATAGCAATCCCTTCACAGTGTCTTCCCACCCACTGCACCCCCTGCCACAGAAAACGGGAGCCCCCAGGCTTCCGTGGGGCTGGGAAGGAAGCGGAGGTGGCATGTCCCCCGGTGCCACGTCGCTGGCTCCATTGTTCATTGTTCCCTCTTGGCTTGGTGGAGCCAGCATGGGGACAGGAAGCGATAAGGGGGAGAAGGCACTGCTCCGGTTCCTGCTCTCTGGCAGGTTATTTCCCCACTTGTCTGACCTCTCCTTAGGTAAACTCAGTGCTTCACCTCCCTTAGAGTTTGCTTTGCTCTCCTGCACCCGTCCAGCAGGGCCCAGGGAAAACAGCACGGCTCTATTAATAGCCCATGGGGTTGCCAAATCCTATGTTGAAAGAGCAGCAGTGGCTGCAATAGAGTGATTCAGCCCCCAGCGGTAACGCACGGGCTGGTTCCCTGTTGGGGCCGTGCTGGGAAGGCTCCCAGCTTCGCCCCAGCCCTGGAGGGTGATGCTGAGCTCTCTAGTGGGGTGGGGAGGTGGGGAAGGGTCTTTGCTCCGTCAGCTGGGGGTTTTTTGGCTTGCTTGCACCACAGATAGACCTGTCGCTAAACTTGGTGTTGTTCCTCTCTGTTGGCAGCTGCCCAAGCTCACGGGCTGGACTCACTCCACATGGACCCTTAATGAGTAGAAAGCAGGACCCCTGCTGAGGGCAAAGCCATGGACCTGCTGCTGGGGTCCTTGTACCCAGGGCTGAAGTGGGCTCTGGGGGATGAAAGCTATGGTGTCCCTGGCCCAGCCTTGCTCCACACGCAGTCCTGCCTGGAGGAGAGTGGACAGCAAAGCCTCTGGGTGCAGTGCATGGATCATCTTCTCAAGCCCCTCTTGAGTTTTAAGTCTTGGAGTCTTCTCTCCCACAGTTGGGCTTGTGAGTGACCCGTGTTGGGGAGTGGGAGCTTTGTGGAGGGCTGGGTTACACTGGAGAGATGCTCTGACTGACTCTCTGTGGACTCTGGAGCTGGGTGGGAGAAGTGGCCCATGGGGAGAGGTGGGATCCGGGACATGGAGGTACCACGGGGCTGCGTGAAGGATGCTACGGCTGGGAGAGTTCCGCTTTGCACAGCAGTGAGCTGAGGATGGAGCCCCAGCTGTGAGCTGAGACTACGCCCACAGCAGGCACTAACACCAAGGCAAATATTTGGAAAGGCAATTAATGCCCCAAAATAACTGCAAGTGCTTTCAGGAGCAAAGCTGGAACAGTGTCCGTGGGCAGTGGCCATAGTCCCCTGGCCCGGGACAGCCCCCAGCATCCGGGACAGAGGTAGGGCAGGGACACTGCCAGTGCCTGGCCATTTATTCCCCTTCCTGTGGCAGTGGGGGGTGAGCTGCTTTTGTCTGAGCTTTTTGGAGACACCTCATCCCCATGGATCTGGCAGCTGAGGAAGTAAAAAGTAGCCTCTCTTCCCTTGTCAGTA